GTTTTTGGCAACTTAAGCAATAGCTTGAGTCTCAGATGATGTATTATCATTATTGTCAAGATCTTTCAGAATGAGGAATAGTGGTGTGGTGCGACGCTTGAACCCATACCTAAGTAAATATCATCTTTTTCCGGTGAGTGTATTTACAGTCTGCCTTACTAAATATTTATATAACAAGAAGCAATTTCAGAAAAAAGCAGGGCAGCTGCAAATCTATTGAGAAACTTCGGTAAAGTATGGACCACTTGAATTACTTGCATCAATACTTCTCTTTCTTTTATTACTATATATTTTTGCCTTTTCTTCTTCATTTGCACTTGCGTATGTCCACTCTTTCTTAAAGTTAACCCACCAGTGTGGTTCTATGATGCTAGCCCAAATCTGTGAAAACCATTTCTTCTGTACTGGCATCACTTCATTAAGAAGTGTCCATAGAAGAAGATCTAGCCTAGGTTGATTGAAGCATTATAAATAATATCACTTAATAACGCTCCAATGTGCTTCTATTTTCATTGTAGTCTTTCCATATGGTATTACTGGTTTGGCTGACCGTGCTCAAAGATGCTATCGTCGTGATAAGTACCAATTGGCCCAGAGATAGGACCAAAGTAACCTAAAAAAAAAAATTTAAAAGTACTAAGAAAAAATAGTAAGAATTCAAAAAAAATTTTTTTAAAAAATTTTTTTTTAAAAACTAACCATAATCTATATTCAACACAAAACTTATACATTTCCTCTATAGCATTTTTTTTAATCGCTTCTAGTTCTAATATATTCCTATGTGTATCTATAGGAATTAACAGATACATGTCGAAGTGCTTCTGCATCAGCTCTAAAACCTTTTCTTGAAATTCTGATGGACAAATGATATAAGATTTTGAATTTCGATTCTCTTCTGTTAGGTAAAAAGTGGGATCGATAAAATTATATTCACTGGCTGCTTGATAAGCATTATAATTTACAGTTATTAACCTAGAATTGCCTGATGATTTTGGTTTCTCCTCAAACTTGCATTTTACGGCCCATTTCATGTACTAGACACACAATTGAACTACAGAACTGCTCCATACATTGGATGCCGTACTGATTTCTGCAAAGTCTTTATTAGTAAAGACGAATTGTGGATTTACGTTATGCGACTACAAATTATTAATTATAATTTTATTAATTTAAAATTTTTTATTAAATAAAAAAAATATATTAATTATTATTTTATTTATTTTATTATAGTCGACTTAGAATATAGCGAACTTTGGATATAATGAACTCAAAATTTTCAGGATTTTTAAGTGATTTACTATGACGAACCGTATGGGTGAAAATTTCCAATTTTAATAATATTATGTATAAAAGTTTTTTGAACCAAACGTATACAGGATTTGGAGTAACTACTGAGATTAAAAGTGAATCATCATAAAATTTCTTATGAGATACTTACCAGAATCATCTAGAGCGATCATAAAAAGGGTAGTAATATGACTTGTAGCACAACCAAACCAAAAGCTGCATACAACTTTATATATAAGCCACAGCTACTCACAAAAAAAAATATTTGCGATATAATTTTACTACAAACAGGCCTAATTTCTTTTTTTTTCAGTTCAAAAATTAAAAGCTTAATTTCTAGCCAAATTAGAATTTTAAAAATCATCAGCATAAATTAGATTAATGAGGCCAAATGTCATGTTCACATTATTGCACTTTTTATGGTCGCTCTGAATGATTCTATTTATAAGTTGCTTATCAGTTTTTTATATAGCTTACTTTATGGATCCTTAGATAATTTATGAACTCTTATCAGTTTTTATACAGTTACTTTATAGTAATTTAGATCTTCACATTTTAATTTTAATAATTATAATGTTCTGACTAGAAATTTTCACCCATATGCTTTTTTTTATTTATTTTTGATTTTAAATTTTTTTTAATTTTGCTAATTATTTATTTTATTACAATTTATCTTAATAGTAACAAGGAAGTCTTCTAATATAATACGGCATTTTCCTGTACTGGGGTTTGTATATTTTGTCTTTGTCGTATTTATTATTAGATAGGCTATTGGATAACTGGCACCATCAACGTCAGTGACAATACCATAAAGTTCATAATGGCTACGCGCAGTTTTATATATAGCATCAATATAAATCTCAGTAATACAAATATTGAGATTATTTATTTTCTTAAGCAATGGAGTTGTAAACGCGATGACTGTGGATTCTGAGTCTTGTAGGTTCAGACATTTGCAGAGATTCTGATTTCTGTATTCATCAAGCAGCTTGTGTGTAGATTCCACTTGGTTATTATGGTGTTAGTATATGAGGGTAAGTCAATAGAAAAGGGACAAATTTTTTTTAAGTAAATGTTTTCTTGACTTTAGGCTTAAATATCTTGGCAATTATCTTATCAAATTTAATAAAAATTTTTTTATTTTATTTCTATATAATTTCAAGATTAAAATAAAAAATTTTTAGCAAATTTGATCAATTAGTTGCTGAGATATTTTAATTTAAAAATTAAAAAAATTTCACTAAAAACGATTTGTTCCTTTTCTATTGACTTTCCCTATATGCTCTGATTTACTATAGTCTTCCAATAATGTATACGCTTGTATGAATATTTTGAAACATCAACTTCTTGACTTTGTAGATGGCTTGTCAATTAAGCCGTGGTAAGATATGCAAACTTTCTAATTTCTTCCTGTAGTTTGTCTGTCATTTCAGCACAAAAATTTGGGCGTTGATAAAGAGAATTATGACGAATATTTACCCTCACAACACCAAGAACTGCATTGACCCATACAGAAATTCTGCCCTTACAGTTGTAATGCACATATCGCTTACGATTAGAGTCCTTATATTCTTTACTTTGGGAATCTCTTGATTGGCAGCACAGATACGTAAATCTGCTAATTGTACTGCCAAATCTTCTTGATGAATTTGCTTCTTGATAGCTATAACAAAAAAAAAAAATTAAAAAAATAATATTAGGCTGCATATTACATGAAATTTGAAAATTGGTGCTCTGATTTTTTTATAATTGGTACAATTAGAACTTAAAAAAAAAATAAAAAAATAAAAAACTGGGTGGTCAGGTAACACAAAACAAAAAATCAAACTTTGTGCGAATATAAAAAAAAAACAAAAAAATAATAATTAAACCCACATCCATGAAAAATCATTACCGCCTTCAATTTCAGTAATGATAAGGCTAGCAATTTCCTTTGCCATTATATTTTGTATGTCTAAATTCATTTTTACTAAAAATTGTGTATTGCAGGCCATATCAGCTACACTGTTGGCACTTATCTTTTGGATCTTATTTGCGACAAAGTCACCCACCTCAAGGTAATCAATTTCAATACATTTATCATCATTCACTTGTTCTGGTTCTTGGTTAGTAAGATTAACTGATACAACATAATCTGTTGAATCGGTAATTACTAGTTTAGATTTCTCTTTCTCCTTTTATTATGATTCCTTTTGCAATCAATACACGTTTTGTTACGTTTACTATCCCAAACAAATTTTTTACCTGGGTGAGAAAGTTTACACCCTGTGCATTTATTAAATTTGCAGTTAATACACATTTTGTTACGTTTACTATCCCAAATAAATTCTTTATTTGGGTGAACAACTTTACACCCTGGGCATTGTTTCATTTTGTAGAATTGCATTTTAACTATTTCATTTGTTTTTGAACTTACTGGCACATCGCTCATGGTAGGAAACATCGATATTTATATAAAATAACTAAACCTTGTTATTATAGTGAAGTTAACTAATAGCAATTGTATGTAATAGGGTGATGTGCTGCTGCATATAGAAAATAAAAGAAAGATGCAGACCTATGGGATTGGTTTTATGCAATAACAATTTTATAACTAAAGTGTCCAAACTAATAACGATTTTAGGAATTTTTTATTGCTAAACAATAAAAAATTGCTAAAATCGCATAAGTCTAGATACTCTAAAACTTATCATGTTTGTTTTTTTTTTAACCCAATTTTGTTCTAATTATGACTAATTATGGTTTTATTAATTTTAGAAACCGCATATGTCACTAGAATCATTCACGATCACATTAAAACTGATCAATGAAAAATTTGATTGCATTAAAACAGTCTGTGATCTCATTAAAATAAATTCATAGAAAAATAAGAATAAAGACAATGGTATTGAGTTTTTAATCTAAAATACAATAGTACAAATTGATTAATTTTATGCATTTTTATTTATAAAGCCACGCATCAGGAAGAAATGTATTGTTCTTATAATTTATCAACTGAAAATAGAAAACATTAATCAATGTATAAGAGAAATAATTATATTAAAAATAGAAATAATGGTGAGTATATTTAAAAGTACTATATATTTAAAGTCAAGTACTAGATAGCTTTATTATAGATACTATACAAAAAATATTTTTCTAATAAATACAATACATTTAATAAAAACAATACATTTATTATAATTAATAAATTATTACAATGTATAATTAAAATTCTACACTAATACATAAATAAATTGATTGAATTTTATATAAACCCAATTATTTATTTTACAAAAATAATATTTTCTCAAAAACTTATAAAATCGGGTTAGATTTTATTTCAATTCGCTCAAGTTCGACTCTAAATTCAACCCAATTAACCCTTTGAAGCACTACTAGTTTATTAGATATTTTTTTAAGAACATGTTAAAGTAATAAAATGGTCTTAAATAAGAAAACTTTATTTTAAATACATATTAATATTAAAAAAATTGTATATTCTTTGAGGACCATAGGATCACAATTTTAAACACTGCTTGTACCTCACGTCTTCCTTTTTTTTTATAGTTTGAATAAGAGTTTTTAAAAACTTTTTTAGTTCAAATATGGTACTATAGAAGCGAAGCAATCACCTTTCTTTTTAGCCCAATTAGCAGAAAAAGTAGCTTTGAAATAAGTAGAACGAGCATTTAAAATAAGTAGAACGAAGCATTTAAAATAAGTGAATATGCTCAAAACTCTCTTATATTTTGCCCTTCACTAGCACAAATAATAACATCAGAGCTGTGCCTATTTTGAAGTAACTTTTCAATTGGTCAAATTGTCTTTAGTGTACAATATACTGTAGGAAGTTAAAAAGATAAAAAATACGATTAAATAACTGCTATGATGATAATATAGATCATCAGATCCGACATTGATCATTGACTTGAACATTAGGAGGGCCGTCTGATATACTCTAGTATAGACAGAATCTATTTTCAACATTCTAATCCTCAATATACACTCTTCTATAAAATAAACCAAACTGATGAAACACCTACTGGACAAATATATTTAACAGAAACATCAAATTTTTTATTTGGTTTTAAACCTATAAATCTTTTATATAAATGAGCCAAGTTCAATAAACTTTTCTTACAAATAGATTACAAAGAATTAACCGCTATTCTGGATATTACTTCTAACTCAAACCTACTTTCAACCTCTTCTCTTTAACAACTTCATATTCATATCTCTTCTTGTGAAATACAATTAATATATCATATAATTAAAACTCCTTTTTACCAAAACCAGTTAATTCAAATATATAACAAAATCTTAATCTTAAATACAACCAATTTCCTATTCTATACTGATGCCTCTATTAAAAACCTTCAAACTTCAAACATACAATCTAGTATTGGCTGGATTTGTAAAAACAATTTGTCTATTAAATTCAATATAGCAATTCATCCTTCCCCAGACTCTTCTCATTCTGAATTATTTGCAGTTATCTCTCTTCTTCTTGTTTTACCAATTAATATTAAAATTACTATTTATATTGATAACATATCAGCAATCAATAACCTGCTTAACCTCACTCCTCCTAAACTTATTCAAAACAAAAACTAGAATATAATTACAATTCTAAATTCTATTAGACTAATTAAAAATATCTCTATCATCCCTATTAAAATAAAATCATATTCATACAGCTCTATTTACAACTAGGCCGATTTATTAGCTAAACAAGGCTCAAACAAACCTATTCTTGAAATCTTCTATATATACTTTAACCTCCTTACTTACTTTTTCTGAAATAATTATATTATAACCTTTAAAATATACTTTTTTATCAAAATATTACTACTATTCAAAAACTTATTTTATAGTCATCTCTCAAATTCTTTAATAACTATATACTGGATATACTATATCCTGCCGTGAATAAGCATCTACTTTTTGCAATTTTCATATTCAAGTTTCTTATTACCTAGTGATCGGTTCTGCGCAATTTTGGTACTATTCGAATTAACTCATCAAACCAATTCGAATAGTACCAAAATTATGCAGATTCGATCACTAGATAATGAGAAACTTGGATATGAAAATTGTAAAAGGTGAGTGCTTATTCACGGTAGGATACGGTAAACTAGAACATAGTCTTTAAAATACTTAATTTTCTAGAATATGATTCATCCAAATACTCTTTCTATATCAAAATTTTAACAAACAACTTTCTAACAATACAAAATCTTAATATCTGCTATCCAAATCTATATACAACAAATTAATGCTACAAATGCTCTTTAACTAAAGATACTCTTCATATACTCTTATACCCCAAAAATACTGAAAACATTCAACAATCACTCATCAATATAACCAATAATACACTCTATCAACTTCAAATAAATATCCCTGCTACTTCACTTCTTAACTCCCTCTTACTCTTTATAATAAACTCTTTTAATATACAACTAAACTTCCTTCTTTCTGCAATCCTTAGAACATACTCCAAACCAATATATCATAGTACTAAAATTTTGCTTAACAGACAAACCAAATTATTTCTTATCAATTTCTCCAAAAACCTTTTAAACTGGTTTTATCAAGAAATATAGTCTAAACGAAACCTCTTTCAGTATCAATAGGAAAATAGCTCATAATATTACACCAAAAACTAAATGCTCTAAACTAACTTTACCACCTATCAACAATCAAACCAATATATATACATCTCACCCCCAACTAATAAATACACATAATGCTATTAAAAAATAGTACTTACAAAGTTTTTCTCTACTAACATGCTTTTTATAATGTCATGATTATCACCTCAGGTTTTTTTCTAACCTACTTTAGCTAGTACTATTTTATTTATCTAATTTAGTAATAGCAATAAAATAGAAATAGGAGGTGTAATGTCATATTGGATGCTCAGTATATCAACAAATTATATAAACATAATCTTACACAAGATATTACAGCCTATAATATTGTACAAGAATTACGGTCTGGGCATAATATTGTGCAATTTATTACATAATATTATGCAATTTATTATAGAATATTATACAATTTATTATAGAATATTACGCTAGAATATTAGGGCCAAATAGAGCTCTAAACTATATTATGAAGCTCTAAGTCAGGATCACAGAACTATGATATAAAATTACTTATTGGGAATTAAAAATATCTTGTAAAAATATAATTGGGATTATATATCCACATTACATAATATATATATTAATACTGTAATAATGTAGAATATCTCTTATTTATATGATTTTTTAAAAATTTTATTTTTAACAAAAATCATGCAAACAATATTTTTAAAATATCATTGCACAACAAACATTTCAAACATCATTGTGCAACAAACATTTCAAGCATTATTGCATAATGAACAGTTTGAATAATATACTACCCATAAAACACTAATTATTTTAACAGCCTGTATTATAGAACACTAACACCAACACAACTATTCTAATATACACAGTGATAACGATATGCCAAAACCACCAACAATAGGAGCTACAACAACCATGAAAAGTCTCCAAATGATGAATTCACCAATAACAAAGCTATATCAAATGTGAAAAATAAAAACAAAACCTATACAAAAATAAGAAGCATTAGTTGGTATTAGTAAATACATTCACAAAGCCTAAAAGAAAAACCAACCTAACAGTACTTAACAGCAACACCAGAAGCAACAGTATCTAAAATGATAAAACCAATAATGAAGTTACCTGCAAATAAAAAAAACGACAACCACCAAAAATTGCCGAAATCACAACAAATAATTTTGATCAAGATGAGCCACAACAACAGAAAAGTTTTCAAGTGATGAACAACAATAAAAACTATAATAAATACAACAACAAAATCTATACAAAAACAAAGAGTATTAAATAGTGTTAGTGAAATATTATAATCTAGAACCTAACAGCACTTAATAACAGCACCTAAACCAGTAAAAATTATCTGCAAAAATACAATAACACCACACTCCAAATCAAACGACAAACGATTTGAACTGAGATAAGCCACAACAACTACTAAGAGTCACCAAATGATGAATCCACCAATAATAAAAGCTATAACGAATGAGAACGACAAAATCTACATGAAAACAAATATTAGTTAGCATTAGTAAATGCGCCCACAAATAAGAACATTGAAATTATATAGCCCCAAAGAAAAACCTATTTAACGGCACTTAACAACAACAAACGAAGTTATTGCAAATAAAAAAAAGACCAAGATATGCCAAAATCAAAATCACAATGACACCGTACTTCAGTAATGATGAACGATTCCAATTGAGATACGCCAAAAAACTATAGAATCACTAAGGCACTACATTAAATATTGACAACAATAAAACAACACCAACAAAAACGACGACGAAACTAGTGACAAAATTAACTATGCTGGAAAAAAAGAAATAAAAGTTATGTAATCTAAAACATATCTACATAAGTTTGTATAAACTACCTATCTTTTTTACTTTCCATTTGTTCATCTTTTTCATTTTCATTTAACTCATCTATCTGCCAATATTCATTTGATGTAAGGTAAATTCATCTTTGATAAAGATAGACAAAGAATATCACATTATCTCTTAAACAAGCTAAATAATATAATATTGGCATTTTTATACAAAAAGCAGGTCAGAACAAAGAAAAAATTACACCCTAATCACTGTTTATATAACCCATAATTAAATCATATTACATAGAAACAAGGGTACAAAAAAATTTTTTTAAAAAAATAAATATTAATAAAACTAATAAAAAGAGCAGCATTTTAACACAAATTCTAGAATCACGGTCTTACAAACATTATTTAACTTATTAAAAAAAAGGAGGCTATAGTACTTATACTATAAAAACTTTAACTAAAGAATTCTGTGTGTATTATTGTCAAGGTAATTTAAATTAAATATCATACTTTAATTTTTCTTAGAGTAGTGCCATTACTTTATTAATAAAAAAAATTATGCTTTTATTATAGTATATTTAGTAGCAGGGCTTTTCTAATTGTTGGTCTTTTTTTATTAGTTTAACTCTTTTTTGAATTTCAATTTGGCTAATTAATTTGGGGTCGATTTCTTGTGGTAAAATTTGTTTATTTTGCAAAAGGAGCATACATTGCTTTCAAATACTTTAATTAACAAATTATTTTGGCTTTTTGGTTAAATTAACCTAATAATGAGAATGTCAGATAATTTATAATCTTACCAAGATAGAATAACTTAAGAAGCAGCAAAAATGCTATATTCGAAACCAATACTTAGCCTTCTTTAAATTTTTTTTTATTCCTATACCATTTCGATAACAATACCCAACTTTCTTTATTCCATCAGCTAGACCAATCTTGGCAGATTTCAAGTACAATTCAACTACATCTACTACAAGTTTTTGGAAGCTTTTTTACCTATTCAAAATCTTTACCATTTTTCTAAAATTCAGTACAATATTTTGAAGCCATTTTTTGTTTAAGAAGAAGAGCCTAAAATATAAAATTAATTTAAAGATGGAAATAGAATGAAAAAAAGGTTTTTATACCTCATGAAACTATCTCCAGTACTCGATTTTTCATTGTCTATATTTTAATTTACCAGATCAATTGTTAAATTAACTTGTGTGTAATTAATTAAGGTAATATTCGAATATTTTCCCATAAAGTTTCTTTAGCTTCTGTAATGAGAGGATATTGAGAATTGCATTGTATCTAAATTAATTTACTGCAATATTAGAACTTATAAATCATAATATAATAATAAACTTGTGGGAAATATCTATAACTATCAAGTTATATATATATTGCTTTCTCCCTCAACATTCATAAGTTTTTTATAAGGTAAAAAGGGGTAATTTGGCGAATAGAAGTAATTTGGCAAATTGTAAAGAATTGTAAATATATTGCGATCCCATGATCAGATCCAAACAATTTCTATACCATTCGAATCCTCTTATTAAGAGGATTCG